TTGCTCTCTTCTAGCATATCTTGCCTTTTGATGTCTCAAGAATTAACTATGTAGAGTGGGTAGACAGGTAACAACACTGTCAAGCTTCCAAAGTTGGTGGCTCTTTTATCCTATAGGATATTGCCTCTTACCTATAATGAAAGAAAACTTTATCTGGCAGCCATTGATTGGTGTTTTGCAATGTATTTTGAATCGGCTGTGTATCTGTTGCGCAGTAGCAGGGAAGATCCTTGAATTGTTCCGTTAAGCCTCATGCTGCCTGGGAGTTGTTCTGCGGTTAGATGTGCTTGTTTGGAGTGGGGAGACTAATCTGTTTCAGTGTCCCTTGGGGCCTGAGCTCACCAGAATGATCTGTATTCTGATATTCAAGGCTAACCTGCATTCATGTCCTTAAGAATACTGTGTTACACGAAAGCTTTGGCTGTGCTGTCATCTGTTCAAGAGGCCTGGTGTTTCGGAGCATGGTAGTGATGTGGGGTTTTGCAGTGAGCTGTAGCCCTCATGGCTGGGTGGGACTGTGCTACCCAGCCCTCATATGGGGGTGCGCACAGCTGCTGGCTGCCAGGGTAATGCACTGCACCTCTCCAAAGCTGTGCAGAGATGGAAGTGCCCCAGTTAACCAGTATGTAACAAAGTATTAGTGGGTCTAATCTTGCTTTCCTCAAGCGGGCCTGGAGGAAGTTAGACCGGGGAGTGTGTGTGTGGAAGAAGTAAGTAGCATCTCAGTCAGAAGAAGCACTAAGGAATTGCAAAAGAGGAGGGAATGGTTGCATGGGAAAAGGTGGTATGTTCTGATGGGCAGTCTAAAGGCTTGGCTTCTAGTGAGAGGAAGGTGGAAGCTGTTGAAGCTGCACTCAGAACTTGGCACCTGCACCTTTTCTGATGCAGTTAGAACACGTGCCAATCTTGGGCAGTTGTGGTAGGGACCAGAATTTCATTCTTCTGCTCATTGAGCCAGCGGGGTGGAGCAGATAGCCTGCTACATTCTAGATGGGACTGGTAGTTGCCACGGCTAGAGGCTGCTGGCCAGGGCACTCTGCTCAGTCCTTGGCCTGCTCCCTGTTGCTCTCCCTGACTCCTCTCTGGGAAGAGATCTGGCTGGAGTGACTTGGTAGCCTGATTCTGGTAAGGTCAGTTTTGGCAGTGGATAAAAGCTTGATAGCTGTGGCTGTGCCGCTCATGCAGGCGGTTTCTGTGGTCAGCAATGGCGTGTGTGACTATCCAGTGCATGCATAGCTGTGTCCTCATTACTGTATCCCAGTGGCAAAGGGACTGTGGAGCAACAGTGGCCTGTCAGTCTATGGGGTTTTGGGCAATTGTGCCCAAAATTGCCATGGCTGCTGTAAGGGAATGTTCTATTAGGTCCTTGCTATTTTACACTTACAATGGGAGAAAAAGCGCTACTTAACATGCATTTCTTTGCCAAGTGGCTTAGGATAAATGTTTTTCTAAGTTCTGCCAGTATTTAAGAGCTTTGCAAGTCCTTAGCAAAAGGACTGAAAACAACTCTGCTTAGGCAGCTGGATTAAGTGGAAAATTATTGTATATTAGTGTGCACACTAATATGTAAGTAAGCAACTCATTCAGTATTGGACAGTTATAAGGACTTATTTTTCTTTTGCTTAGTGGCTGGCTATTTAAAACATGCAGAGGAGATAACATAGAAACTACCACTTTGTGAATCTTCCATTATTCAACTGCTTTTCTTCTGGAAGAACTTAATTACACTGAAGTGCTGTGGGGGTAGCCGAGTGTGCTCATGACGATGACATCTTTTGTCTTCTGAATCCGATATCCACCCACACGCTGCAGCATCCTGGTTGTTACCTGGCTACTGCTGCCTCCCCCTGTTCTGTGGGAAACCTGATTTCTAGCTGAGTGGTATTGACAGTGCTTGTGGCCAAGTACGTCTGGCCAGCACTAATATTGCCTAGTATCTGAGGTAAAGCCAGTTTGTAATGGTGTTTGTGGCCACTGTTGCTTCTTTCCCTCATTAAGATGAGCCTGTGTGCATTTGTAAAGCAGTTTGTAAATGCTTCTGGTGTGTGTAGAGAAAGCTGATGTATGCAGCTTGACTTTAAGGTTTAGTGGTGTTGGTCTAAAGTACTACCAGTGTGAACACCTGAGATGGCATGTAGACAAATGTCTTTTGTCACTATCTCATGTGTAAGCTATAGCTGAGTGATACTAAGGTGTGCCTGGTGGCAACTTTGGGTTAATTCCTTCTGGCCCTTCACTTGCAGCAACTGTTTGTGGGACTGTACTGTAGAACGTGCCCAGGCACAGATGGGTGGATTATTTAAACATAATCCAACAAAATCTTGACCTAAATCAACTGGTCTAGTTGACACATCCTCGAAACTGTCAACGGAACCCAATGGGCTGGTAAGTGAGAGACAGGAGCTCTTGGCAGCTGCACTGCTGTCAGACCTGTTGCTTGTGAAATGATACTGCTGCACACACATGCAGGATGAAGGCATCTTTGAATCCTTATTGTCATTTCGCCTTCAGCATTTTTGTGCAGAGGTCTTAAATGACAGCAGTGACAAGCTGGTATCAAAGCAGTTGGCACACAGTAGTTGGAAAGTGACTGATCTAGATTAGTGCAACTCAGTAGAAGATCCAATTTCAAACTTGTTCCTTGATCTTGTTTGCCACGATGTTGTAGGTGTATTTGCTGGCCCAAGAACATGGGAAGGAGTAGCTTGTGGTGGGGGAAGAAGGCAACAGTGTCAGTTTAGGAGTTTATAGTACTGTGGTTCAAAGTTGCTCCATTCTTTGGTTGCTGGTAGCTCCAATACTGACTCATACAGGATCTGTCTTTAAGTGATGATGTTGCAATGTTTCAGCTGTAGTAACTACTTTCTACCCAGCTGTAGTCAGTTCATACCCACAGCTGAGTATATGCCCCCTTCAAGAGGCCTTGGAGACCTGCCCTGTTTGGAGAGGTGTTTGTACTAAAGCAGGAAACTTGGAGTTCTGCCCATGGCAGTTTAAGCACAAAGTGCTTCTCCTGAACCTGAGGTAGCGATGTAAGGAGCAAACATCTCTATATAGAGATAATACTGTTGATCCCTACGACCTGTGGGTCTAATCAGAAGGTTGTTCATACTTCTAGCAAGTCAGCAGAGCCTCTGAAATGGGATTCCAGTCTGCCTTGTAGGGCATGAAGTACTGTGGGAGGGAAAGAAGCTCCACTTGAGCTTTTCCTGCTTGAGCCCTGGTGGGGAGCTGTTATGCAAGCTGGGCAATGCAGCAGGCTTAAGTGACCTCTTCTGGGCAGGAGCTTTCAACAGCCATATTGGGTGGGCCTGGCAGCCTTGTTCTGCCTGCTAAGCACTTAATCCCCTCCTGTCCAGTGTGCTCTGCTTAGCATCCATGATGCAGTTTTAAATGTTCCTAGCTTTTTCCTTCTCCTGTTTAATCCCTGCAATGCTGCAGTCAGTTTCCCGTGTCTGCTGGAGCTGGCACACTGCATGGGAAGGAGATGGGTAGGTGTTGCTGGTGGTTGGGCTCCCTGAGCAGCTGGGTCTAACTCCTTCCCTGCTATCAACTGCTGCTTTTCTACCTTCCTGTGAAAAGGGGTGCCTAACAAAATGGTTTGGATATAAACTATAGCTTTAAATAAAAGACTTAAATAACTGTTAAAGACGTCTACCTTGGGCCTTCACCAACTGAGTTCTGTATAAATGCACTGTAGGAGTGAATTCATTGACATACCTGCTCTAATAGCAGGTGCTCATAAGGTGCTATAGTACACTCTGGCATGCAGCATTTACTGTAAGATTGTGCACAGGACTCTGTGTGCCATTTACCCATATGCTTTTATTGCTATTTTGGGACAAACTGGCTCAATCATTTCTGCACCAGCTGGAACTATATCCTAGTGAGCAGCATCCCCAGGCATGTCTGTTGCCTGGAAGTAGTATCTTAAAGCTAGAGTATCCGTGCAATTGCAGAGTCCCCACTTCCCCGTATTTTTAAGTGTCTAAATGCCACCTCTGCTGCTCATGAACTCCGTGTTGCTCCATTCTCCTTTGTAGAGAAGGAAGATGCCATTTTCCCTTGAACAGAGGATGGAACAGCTTCCCCAAAATAAAAGCACTCCTGTTTCAGATTTGACAGCAATATGTCCCCTGTCAGTGTTTTAGTTTCTCAAAACAGTGCTTCCTTCTGATAATGGCCTCTCTTACACAAAAGGGGACCTAGCCAGTCCTCCTTAGGAGTGGGCTGTGCAGAGAGGTGCATGGGTAATATTTTGCAAGGGGATAGGTCTGTGCTGCCTATTGCAGCTGTGATGAATGAGCTGCCTTGTTTAGAGGTGAAGCTGTGTGTCCCAGAGTCCAGGACACTACACAAAGCAGGTCTTTTACCACATTGAGGTCACTGCTGCTTGCTTTTTATCCAGCCTTGGCTATAATGACTGAAACTTTGCGCACCCAATATTTAGATATGTGAAATTTGTCTGGCCTTTTTTTGTTCTCACTCTGTTGCTCCTTTGGCCTTGACTAGAATCATAAAATCATTAAGGTTGGAAAAGACCTCTAAGATCAATTCGAACCGTCAACCCAACACCACCATGCCTACTAAACCATGTCCCTAAGCGCCTCATCTACATGTCTTAAATACTTCCAGGGATGGTGACTCAACCACTTCCCTGGGCAGCCTCTTCCAATGTTTAACCACTCTTTCAGTAAAGACATTTTTCCTCATGTCCAAAAGACTACCACTCTTGGTTGTTTTGTGGGGACACTCAACTGAATTCTTAACAAATACAGCTCCAAATACTTCAATGCTGATGGCTACTCTTAATCAAATACTCAGCTATACTGCAGTATCATCTGTAGCTGAATGCTGCACCTGCACAGCTTGCAAGGCATGTGCTAGCCTGAAAAGGGCCCAGCACCAGGGCCTCTGAGCTGGTTGGCAGCAAGTAGAAAATGTGCTGGCAAGACTAATGGCTAGCAAGAAAGAGGCTCGCCTTATAGGAACGCTGGGGCATGTGGCAAGTCTCCATGTCTTTACCCTACAAGTGCAAAGTGAGTGCAAGAGTAAATGGATGCTTAACTAGATGCTTAACCAGTGTGCCAGGCAGGTAACTTCCATTTCATCAGAGCTGGATGGATGCAGAAACAAAATTAAAGCAGTGTCAGATTGGGCATGTACTTGCTTGACTAGCTAAATCATGGCAATTAGCAAGAATGATTGCTATTGTGTCACAGGATTGGCAAGCCCTTCTGCTTTTAATGAAGACACTTGGGTAAAATTTGTTCTAGTTGTTTGTGGTCAACCTCTCAATCTGTAGGCAAGCCTTAAACTAGATGAACTTCTTCTGTAACAGTGGAGGAATTCCCTCCATACACACCAGTGTATGCTGGTGGTGGCTGAAAGTGCTGAGACTTGGAACAGAGGTAGCTTGCAGCTGGTCCCTACCACAGCCAGAAATAGATGGTGTGGCAGGAAACTTGCAAGTTCAGTGTGTTTATGTCAGCAGAGTTTGACTGTATCACTGTGTGTGTCCAGCAGAAGGCAGCATCTAATGCTCAAAGGTAGACACTTGAAGAGAATCACTTACGAGTGGACTGCTGTGCTGTTAGGTTAATAAAAGGCTTTAGTTGCCTTTTATATAAAAAGCATCATTGGCCTAAAAGTCACAGACTCCACATCACAATGTCCGCTTGTGCGCGCACAGTGCTTAGTAGTCATGCTCAGTGTCTAGCATACACCTCCAACTTGTCCACACTACTGTTGGAAGATTTGCAGGATGGAGAACTAAAACACGGTTCTGTGTATTTACTTTTTTCAAAAGTCGTATTTCACTAATGTACTGTAGGCAGTGTATTTGATTAGAATCATAGAATCATTTAGATTGGAAAAGACCCTTAAGATCATCGAGCCCAACTGTTAACCTAGCACTGCCAAGTCCACCACTAAATCATGTCCCTAAGCACCACGTCTCCATGGCTTTTAAATACCTCCAGGGATGGTGATTCCACCACTTCCCCAGGCAGCCTGTTCCAATGCTTGACAACCCTTTCAGTGAAGAAATTTTTCCTAATATCCAATCTAAACCTCCCCTGGTGCAACTTGAGGCCATTTCCTCTTGTCCTATTGTTTCTTACTTGGGAGAAGAGACTGACACCCACCTTGCTACAACCTCCTTTCAGATAGTTGTAGAGAGCGATGAGGTCTCCCCTCAGCCTCCTTTTCTCCAGGCTGAACAAGCCCAGTTCCCTCAGCTGTTCCTCAGAAGACTTCTGCTCTAGACCCTTTACCAGCTTTGTTGCCCTTCTCTGGACATGCTCCAGCACCTCAACGTCTTTCATGTAGTGAGGGGCCCAAAACTGAACACAGTATTTGAGGTGCGGCCTCACCAGTGCCGAGTACAGGGGCATGATCACTTCCCTACTCCTGCTGGCCACACTATTTCTGATACAGGCCAGGATGCCATTGGCCTTCTTGGCCACACTGCTGGCTCATGTTCAGCCGGCTGTCAACCAGCACCCCCAGGTCCTCTTCTGACAGGCAGCTTTCCAGCCACTCTTCCCTGAGCCTGCAGGGTTGTATGGGGTTGTGGCCAAAGTGCAGGATCCAGCACTTGGCCTTGTTGAATCTCATATAATTGGTCTTGTCCCATCAATCCAGCCTGTCCAGGTCCCTCTGCAGAGCCTTCCTACCCTCAAGCAGATCAACACTCCCACCCAGCTTGGTGTTGTCTGCAAACTTACAGAGGGTGCACTTGATCTCCTCGTCCAGACCATTGATAAAGATATTAGTTTAGATTAGATTAGTATTAACAGAATAGTCCAAGACTTCTTGTCACCAGTTTGTAGCACCTTCCAGATCTCAAAGGTGGGAAAAATCTTTGGCAGTTCTTTTCCAGTCAGTAATTGTTATCCATGGGCATTCACTTGACTGTATTTAATGATGTTATAAAACAGACTTGTCCAAAACAACTTATAACCTTATTGTAATAAGGTAACCTTATTGTAAGGCTTACTTACAGCCTTTCTTAGCAGCCTTTCTCTTAGATTTATGAGGTATTGCAATGCTCTACCAGATATGGGCTTCCTTCATCTGAAGTCTAAGACCCAAACTTTTGCATATAAGTAGTAGTATGCAGGAAGTGTCAAGAACTGCTAGCTGTGAGGCACCACAAAGGAAAACTAGTTCCTCCATAGCTCTATAATGCAAGAAGATTAGATCTGATGGAACAGTTGTTTCCCTGTGTTTTTATTATTTAATGTCTTACATAATGCTGATTCAGCCTTCAGTGTTGGTCTACATCTGCAAGTTAACAATGATACAGATTTTAAATTCTCCCTCACAAACCCTACTCTACATACCCAATGCCTGGAGGACAAATGCTGGACCCTTGCTATGGAAGGTTTAAAAAGCATGTGTGGGGGGAAGTGAGCTTTGGAGAGTACTGTCTGCAGAGAGTGGTACTTTAAGTCTAAAACAGACTTCACAGAACAGATAGCAAGGGTGATGTCTATCACTTTGTAAGTCTTTGCTTCATACTTCCCTCTCCTCTATGAACAGAAAACCATAATCAGGGAGCCTGAAAATGAATCACTTTTTTCTTTCAGTGGAAGCTTATAATATGAGGGATTTAATATTGCACATACTCTTATCAGACTTCATCGCTGGCTGGCTGGCAGCATCTACATGGTATTCAGTAGTCCATCTGTTTGCTGTCTGAAAGATGGAAGGATGAAATAGTGAAGACAGAAGATCACTGGAAACAGTCTTTAAAATACTGCCTGGAGCTATTGGTTATCTGTGTAGTCTCACTAGTGAAAGGCATGTTTAAGTATGCGGAAGCTGATGTACAGAGGGGTGGGCTTGGAAATATTGTAGTCACTGAAGAAAGAATGAAGGCATTTAAGCAAGGTATGTATCTGTTGCTAAGGAAGTAATGACTTCTTCCATTTCTAAAAAAAGCACAGCTTCAATGAGGTAGTAAGAGAGGCTGTGCAAATCAGACATTAATATGTTGTCATTGGGAGCTTAAAGCATAACTTTATTTTTTCTTTAGAGAAAGAAAGAGAAGATCAAGAAAAGCAGCAGAGGGAAGAGCAAGAAAAAACTGTAGAACACGCTTCTGTAAAGGAAGCAGACAAAACCAGCCGTACAGGACGACGTCCGAGTCGAAGTGCCTTGTCCAGTCGTAATGATCGAAGATCAGTCAAAAGTCCTCAAAAGACAGATGCACCGAAGGAGAATAAACATCCATTTGCTCTGTATGGGTGGGGAGAAAGACAGACAGATACTGGAAGCCAGAAAACTCACAATGTCTGTGCTTCTGCTTCAGCGAATGAAGTAAGTAGAAGCTTCTGTTTTGTTAAAGGGCAGTGACTACTTAGTATGTGGATAAGACATATGTCTATATGTCTTATCTATATCTAGGTAAAACTTCTTAGGGATGCCTTTATTTGAGTGCATGGAGATTCTAGCAATAAATTCTAAAAAAAAAATCTAGCAATAAACCTGAAGAGGTTTGACATGTCCAAATCAAATAGCTCATAACTGTGAATCGGTTTTGAAACTTCCCATGTTTGACTAATATTTGCAAGTTCTGATTAAAACTTGGCTATCTTGTTTCTGGCTGTTACAGCGCTACCAGCAAAACTGGCTGTTATAAATGTTTTTCTGCATTCTGAACTTCATGAAAACAAGAAAAAAGCAGCAGGCAGTTAGCACCAGGCATCCCACAGCAGGCAGGTATATAAACACTGGGGTAGTGCTTGTGCTGTGAAAGAGTGACTTTTCCTGGGGTGCTCCCTGGGAATAGGAGCCTTGCTGAGAAGGTATGAATGCTTTGCTGCTAAAATGTCTGTCTAGCAGCTCATTTCGGCAGGTTGCCAGCAGGGAACTTTTTGCTGACAGAAGAATGGTCTATCGGATGGCTGATGGATTGCAGGGTTGGTGTAAATATTAGCAAAATAATGGAAATAAAATTCATGGACAGCACCAGAATCCTGTGATAATGGGGTCTGTTTCCTGGCTTACCAAGAAACACTAAGGTTAGAGTGTTACAATAGATCCATTTCTTTTTCTATAACTCTCCTAGGCTGGTAAAACACAATCACTAATGTATCCCCGCCAGTGTCTTGTCTTCATCTTGCTACTAATGTAGAGTCTGAATCTATGACCCAAGATATCTGAGGACTAAGGTGGGTGGTGTTCTTGATGTATAAGACAGAGCTGACTTCTGATGAGCTGTTTTGGAAGGGGTTTGAAGCATAGTCTTTTCTTTCCTGGACAGCTCAACACTTTGCGGGAAATGAGGAGCTTGGGCCTTGCAGCTCTTGAAAGAAGCTGCTCTTCCTGATAATGGATACTGTTACTGGACTGATAAGCTTTGGTCAGTGGTGGGAATAGTTGACTGGTGCTTTATCTTGAAGCCTAATAGAGGTTGATGCTGGACTTGAACAGAGAGATTTATACTTTAAGACTTTAACGTTTCTTATGCTAGAAACAGTTACAGAACCCCTAAGATCAGCTCTTGAGTTTGGAGTGAATGGGCAGGACGCTTCTGGAACACTTCCAATTATGTAGTGCTTTGTCACTAAGAATGTTTCTTTAAGTGGGAACTGACTACTTACTGCCTGGCTAGGTCAACTTTTCTTGAATGTTTGAAAGGTGTTACTTTCCTGGAATTGAGATGGAAGACAGGGTTTTAAATCTGGAGATAGAAGCAAGCAAACATAGTAGCTGGCTCTTAAGATTAATAAATTATCATATATTCCCCAAATTTAATGTAAAAATGTATGTAGGTGTGCCTGCAGCATGTTCTCAAAGTTAAGTTCTTCAGTCTCTAGTAAGGAGTCTCTAGGGATTTGTCTTACTACTATGGCCTAGGTTTTAAGGGATGCTTGGGCATATTGAGGAATGTTTAAGAATTTAAAATGGTAGAAATAGGAGAATTGAGGTTTTTACAATATGTCAGAGTAAGATTAAGAAACACTCAAGGTTTTTGGAATCTTAATAGTGTGAAGTGGGAAAGATAACGCAGGATAGAACTTGAGGCATTTTTTAACAAAAATTTCTGTGCTTACTTCTGTTGGTAGTACAAATTAAAGAAGAAAATACAATCTTGCTAGCAAACCCTGTTTCTTTGGGATGGGGTTGGGACAAATACAAAGTGATCCTCAGCTTTCTTAGGGGGGTTCCTAGGCTGTTTTCCTGCTATAATACTAACTCTGGTCTTTTAGATTCACGAATCTGCTCTACGAGCAAAGAACAGGAGACAAGTGGAGAAAAGGAAGCTTTCTCAGAGGCGAGTGCGATCAGCGGAAGCAGAGAAAGCTTGGCGAATAAAGCCCTCCCCACCAGATAACCCTTGGATGACAGAGTATATGAGATGCTACTCAGCAAGAGCTCGGTGAATTTGGATTCCCTTAGGCATCTTCAAAAGAAGTTATGCATATCAGGACACTGGTGCAAGGAACCAAATTACTTATGCAAGGTTTTTATAGGGAGTTTCCAGCTGTTAAAATATTTCTTATGATATTTTTATCTTGGCTACCTACCTCACAGTGGGGTGTATCGTTGGAGCCATAACATTTGAAGAGGCTTTTAGATATAGCTACCCAAACTTTTAAACAATTCCCCTTTTGGGAATCTTTCTAATGCTTCAGTTGACTTGTTTTGGGGGTGGGAGGGGTGAACCTTAGCATACAGGGAATCAAAGCAAACAGTTTTTTGATCTTGGTTACAAATAATCTGTTGTCCCTTATTTTAAAAGTCCAAGCCATGGGGAGGTGGTGTTGAGGAAAGACTTTAAAGGTGTGATGGAGGTGCCTTTGCATTTATAGTACACTATTTGATTTAATACTTCTACCAAAATCAGTATATTAAGACAGGCAACAGGAAAGCCAGTGGATCTGGTAAACAGCACTAATAAATGTAGATGCTTTAGGCAGGCAAATACCAAGTATTGTCTGTATATAGAAACTTTCAAAAAACCTTGTTTGATTAGTGAATCTGCTGATGCTAACTTATTATTGCTGTTTCTAAGGTCATTAGAACAAACTACTAATTTTCAGGGCAAGAAACAGCTACGGGATTGTTTTGCTGTGTTGCTGTGCCTGTTGTACCAAATAACTGATGTAGACAATCATTACCGGATAGCTGCTGCTCAATAAGCAGTTGCTTGTTCTACCAGTATCAAGTTGTACCACTGTACTGAGCTTGTGGTCACACTTACTCTATGCTTAATCATGTAAATGCCAGTTTGTTGAAGGAGAGGGCTGGCTCCTGTCTAGTGAAGTCTATTTTTAACACTTAAGAATATCTATTCTCAGTGGGGTCAGAGTGCAATATGCATTCCATTTGGTGGTATTGTACATGTATACCGTTAAAGGTTTTAAACTTGAAAATCACGTTGATAAAACTTGTAGATCAAGTCCTGAGAAGCTTTTTGCCTCTCAAAATTGGTGCAGAACTCCTCACTGGGGGAGGTGAGGGGGCTAGGGGAAAAAGGAGAGGTACCCTTTAGTAAACAAGAATATATAACAGAGTTTGAACACTCTCACTTTGTAGGTCCTACTTCTACATAGTAAGACAGTCATTGTTTGCGAGATCCTCAGTGTTTTTTTTTTCCCAAGCTGCTGTAAATTAATTTTTTCAGTTGGGTAACTAAGCTTTAGGCAGATTATTGCTGTAGTTGAGAGCTTCAGAGTTTTGTTCAGATGTGTTGTGTTAGTTAAATATGTTGGTTATCTCAGTTTAACTGTTTTGAAGCTTGTGTTTTACAGACTGGACACCTTCTCACAGGAAGCACACTTGCACTTCTGCAGCAGAAACCTGCACTAGTCTTAGCTTCATTCCACAATCTCAGTGAGTAAGCAGGACTCTAGAATTACTACTGCAACACAGAGTTACTTGCTTAGTGAAAAGCTTCATTGTAAGTGTTATTGAAAGAAAGTAATCATGCAAAGGGACCCAGTCTGCTGCCTCCTAGTGTTAATTACATTACATCACATTAGTAAAGGTTTCATTACTCTCAATTTTAATCTTACTAGGAAGTCCTAGAATCCATGAAATTATAATCTGATTTTTACCTGCCTTTTAAGCATAAAGCTATAAAAATACAGACAACTCTTGTTCAGGATACCTACTAGAGATCTTACAGCTTTTAAGTCTGGGAATGCAAAGTATGATTAAGTATGTTTTAAACACAGCAAAATTACTGTATTCCAACTCTTAAGTAAACCACAGGCTAGAACTTCCTAAAACTTTAGAACAGTGCCCAAAACTGAGGCAAACTATTCCAGAGGATGCCTTTATTCCATATGAGGTTCTTTTAATTACCTTTTATGCTGTTTTCCTCTTTAAATAGCTGTTGTAAATACACCTAAGTTGCTTCTGATGCTGTTTCAATTCAGAAATCCACCCTAGCTTTGAACAACAGTATCAAAGCACTAACTCAGTAGTGTTTAACAGCCTTATTCAATAAAAACTGCCTGTTCCTGTTGCCCACAGGCTTTGTAGGCTTTATGTAACTACAGCAGATGGACTGTGCCCTCAGTGCATTTTGTCACATTAACCAGTTTCCTTGGTCGTCTAGGGCAGGACTCATCTTGCCATGCTTTCAAAGACAGCTTCTACAGTTCTCTTTTCCCACTGAGAATGGAGGAGCCAAGATGACTATGTGCCTGCCTTAAGTACCCATTTTTGGATAAGATAGATCTCCCATTAGATGTTGGTCTTTCCAATAATTATAGAAGGCTTAAATGTCTTCTGCCTTGGATATTGGGTACCAAACTTAAAACATCTCAAACAGGCTTGTTCAGGTGTTCTATAGAGCATGAGAATCTTCAAATAATTAAGGCTGCTGTGTACTGAGGAAATGATCTAGTTCTTATCCTTGTCTGGTCAAGAGCTATTACCCACTGAAACAATTTGCTAGAAGATGGTATTGAAACTGATCAGGTCATGTGAGTCACTGTCATGCTCTTTCAAATGGTCTGTAGCTAAAAATAATCCTGGGTGCTATGTTGGTACTATCTTGGTTTAAGTAATATAATGCCTGAAGTGAGAGGTAAATTATTCTGCAAAGCTGGTAGCCTTCCTGCATTTGGGCATTATTTGACTAAAAAAAGGCTAGTAGGTTTGCTTAGACTATGTGAAATAGCACAGTTCTGATCACTGCAAGTTGTATATGCAAAATATTTGGCATGTGCCAGGCTGAAGTCTGGAAAACTTATTCTAGTGTTTTGATGCTAACAAATGAAAAGGCAATTGACTTGGAAAGCAGAACTTCTCAAGTGTAAAAGCTTTAACTATATTCCATAGATTCTTACAGGAGGTAGCTGTTTTGCATCAAATTGGACTCACTAAAAATGGAAAACCTAGTGAATGTCACCCTATCAATTAAGGAAGTTCTAAACTTTGTCTTGCATGGACTCTTGAATTCAGCCAAGTGATGAACACTTCTCGCTCCTGTTTTAGAAGTAGAACTTTGTTTGTAAGAACACAGTAAATACTCAGTTGTCCAAAGTCTTCATTAAAATAACTGTTTATTCCTTCTTGTTTCTTAAAGTACTTAGCTAAGTGAAACAAGACTTTTTATAATGTGTAATGCTGCAAATTAACTATAGTGTTGTGAAGACTAGTGTTTACAATGTAAAATGTTACAATGAAAACTGCATAAGAATGTCCCTGTAAAATACAGTAGCATGCCTGTTCAGTCACTGCTGTCACATCTTTGCGACTATGAATTACAGACTTTTTCACTTGAAGCTGAGATAGTCAAGGTAATAGCTAAACTTAGAGCCAAACTTAACAAAACTGAGGGACAGACCTGAATTTTTGGTAAGAATTTTATCCAGGTAGCAAATGTACATTTTAATCAGATCTTTAACATGTAGGGAAGTGTATCTGTTCTCTTTTTTTTTTATGGTGTAATGCAGTGCCACTGAACTACAAGGCCTCTGACTTTTTTTTTTACTGTGATAGGGACCAAAAGCTAGCAATCTGAGGGCCTTGTGTGGTAACCTGGATGTTCCAGTTTATTTTCCAGCTCAGTTAGTGTACTCAGCACAAAGCCATATATGGAGCCTGACTCAACACCTTGACAGTAGGCCCTGGAAAATTAGGGGTACAATGGAATGGGAAGCTGCCTCAGCTATTGTTAGCACTGAATTCACTTTAAAAATTATAGGGAAATACCATCTAAGCTTGAAGCAATATGTGTTTTTTTTAAAGTTTTTAAACAGTATTTGTTTTTAATGCTTCTGTATTGTCTATATTTAATAGTGTAGTGTCAACTTGTATATGGGAATAAAATGAGTGACACAGTGCCTTGACTGCTCATACTGTCTTTTTTTGGGGTCTCAGGTCTTCCATTACAGGATGCAAACTGTAGCTTCTCCTTGTCCCATATATTCTTTGGAAAGTTCTTACTGGTGTTGTGTAAAGGGATAGATTACAGTTACAAGTCCAGCTGAGAGCTGAGCTTCTCCCCTATGTTCCTCCTGTAACCCTCCCACATATTCTTAATACCCTTTCCCAATCCAACTGACTTTTTCTACCGTTAACAAGGAAAAAATAGAGCCTAAACTATAGCAGCTATCTGAAGTGCTATGCATGCTGAAGCCTTTGGGAATCTTAATTTTTTCCAAAGTTCTAAGAGGGTAACATGGGAAAAATCAGGAAGCTGCATCACTAAGAACAAGTATAATCTTGCAAATAGGAAAAGCTAAGCTATTAAAGGATGGCTACACTGAAGTTCCACATGCTGCTGGTTCTACAGTAAATGAAGGAAACAAATCTACCTGGTATTTTTACTCTGGATTTACAGTATATTTCTTGAGGTTTTTACAGTGTTTAATTCTTTCAGCATATAGAATATAAAGCAAATGAGTAATCAGTTTTTTATAGCATTAATTTTTTAAGGACTTATGGAAGCTGTGTACTTTTGCACCATAAGGTACCTAGTTGAATACAAAGAACAGACAAGAGATGGGTCAACTATGAATTGCCTAATAGTCCAGAGAAGTTGTAAGTGCAAATACATTCTGTATTTTTCCCCTTACTTTAGGTTTTTAAAGCATTAACTTCTGAAGCCACATTCTCAGAGATCTAGACAGATCCATCTCAGACTGACACAAGGAAAGTAAGTGCACCTTTGCAGCCATAACCTCTCAAGGGCACACAGAAGGGTAGTGATGTATCGTTCCTCTCTACCAAGGGGTGGCAGAAGTAGTGTTGCAGGGTTGGGGCCCCCATGCCACAGGCAAAGCTGCTACCAGAGAGTGCAATGAGGGCCCTGTTCCAGAAATGCACTGAAGCACTCCAGCTCCTTTAGCAGCTGCTGCTGCTTCCCTAGCCACATACTGACTATGCAATGAATTTAGCAGAAGTGTTTTTTCAAGACGATCTAAGGTTTGTCATGTTACAGACTTCACTTAGCAGGCAAAACTTGTACAGGTAAACAGAGTTTGCTGTAAGAGACCTAGAAAATCAGGAAAGATTCTTTATTTGGTGCTAGATACAAGCATTAAATGAAGTAGTGTAGGCCAACAGACTCATTAAAAGGCAAGACAGTGGCTTTAATAAGACATTTAAATCTTTTAAAGGTCTAAACAGCTAAAGCTCCACATCCAATAAATCCTAGGATATAAGTACCCAGTATTATTTCATGTAAAACTCCAAGCCATCTTGCTTTGGTAAAGTAAGAATTTTACACTAAAAACATACATACATAATTTAACCTATTACTATTTAACCACTTACTGTTTAGGTGAACTAGGTTTGGTTTGCTGTGTGAACTATAATGCTAAAGCTTAAAATCTACTCTAGGGCTGTTATTAGCATGATGTTTATTTTCAGAAATAAAAAACCCTCAGAGGAGAAATAGTAAGCAGTATAGCTTGCACTGATGAGAGCTATTGCTTCCAACAGTACTTCCCTCAGGAGTAGCCATTTTAGAAAGTTTCCTTTTAAAATGTTAGTGAGATGCAGCATAAAATGTTGTGATACTACAAAACATGCACATTAACCTGGTTAATGTGTATACAGTAAGAGTATACATTAAAAAAGTGGTAAAAATGTCAAAACTCATTATGATGACGCTATTCTTTCCTTCCAGGTAGGAAGGGGGACAGCTTAAGACAGTTGGTTACAGAAAGAATAAAACTGTGCTTACTGCTTCTTAGCCACAGACACTTGACAAAATGATCATAAGAACCAAGTGTACAAAAGAGGCCAGTCTTGTATGTAAAGGGAAAAGGACAGGAAGAAGCATAAGAAAAATCCCTGCCAAACGCCTAGAATGCCTATTTAAAAGCAACAGAATTGGTAACAGTCCCCTGCTCCTTTCAACTGCTACTGTAATAATGAAAAGTAGTTTTGATCAACAGCCAATGCCACTTCAACCATTGTAACAGTGACAGGAGAGAGACCTTTAGCTTTACTTGTGCTATGTCCCAGCTGATAAGTACACGCTCAGCTTTCACTTTTGTCAGTGTACAAAGAAACCTGATTAGATTGTGGTAAGGGTAGGAACAGACTCCCCAAAATCTCATCTTTTCCCAGCATTCCAGAACTGGTTTGGGATTTCGGAACCAACACCCTCCCCACCTCTGGCAGAAACACAATGCATCTTAGTTAATAATATGCCATTTTGACTGGCAGAGGAGAAAACTACATCCAACATCTACCTCCCAGGACTTGCTTTTGGTAATTACTTCCAAAATAAATTGAGTGAGGATTAAGACAGGTAAGTTTCTTTGGAGTTCTTCAATGTTCTGGTAAATGCACAATTAAGGTGCTTCAGAAATACATTACACTCACCAGGAAGAGAGTACTCCTTGGGAATAACTGTTATCAGTTATGTACCAAATCCAATCTTAAATATAAGAAGATACATAGGGGAGAGACGTAACATGAAAGTCTTTGGACCCAACAGCCTTTGTAAAACTAAACCTAGGCTTTTCAAGTACAAAGCAAACTTAATTCCTTTTAATTCAGAGATGACCTAAGGTGTGTAATTTTCAGATAAGCATCCTGACATTTTTGGTTCAAATGGATGAAGGGAAGAGTTTTAAACACAATTCCAATTCCATGAAAGATGGTATACCTCGGTGTAGCATTCTTGCTTTGCTCTTGTGCTTTAACTGCCCTCTAAATTACAGCATAGATTTAGTTTTCTGGTTTAGTTTTTAAACATGCATTTGACAAGTGACCCTTAAATAGAAAAGATTCATATATAGAAAACAATAAAGCATGTATGACCTCTGAATTTCCATACTGGCTTCTAATCAAATTAATTATTTTGTGTTAATTTGCACTTCCAAGGAGACATCCCATTTCTAGTTATACAAGTAACTACGTAAAAATGTCACTAGTGATTTCCATCAGTGCAAGTGAAATTGCCCCCTTCGATTGGTTGAATTCAGCTACCTCCAGAAACACTAGCTTAGTCCTGCAGCTCCTTACCTGGCAAAACAAAAGCCACAGGTCTCTTACCTTATCAGTTGTCATGGCACTGTAAAAGTGATATGCAATACTTGTGGTTCAGTCCTCCCTCTTAGACTCTCTGCAAGTCTCTTCCTCTTCTGTCTCCAGCTGAGGAATGAGGACAGGATTCCTAACCTCTTGCCCCATGCCTCTTCCCCACAACAGAAAGAGGGCAGGAAAGAAAGTCTGAATTGCGTGTTTTAAACACCGGGGGGTGGGGTGGGGGGTGGGGAATCAGTACCAAGGCTGAAATTCCCCTTGATGAGTTTCACAGGAAGAACGAACTACATAAGTAGTACGCTTGGTTTTTTCCCTTCCATCACACGAGTCTCCTGGGGGCAATGTGGACAGCATTACATACAGTGCACTCACATGAAGTTCAAAGGTAGAGCTCCAGCAAGACAGACTCTAAGTTCCCGATTTTAAAGTCTAATTTTAAAATTCAAGTTCTGACTTGTACTTCATGAATGCTTAAGAAAAAGAAATTAGTATTTTAAATTTCATGCATTCAGGATACTTTAGAAGAACCCGTTTGGGTTCAGTTTGTACCTCACCAGGTATGCTTCAACAGAGATCATATTTCCACAGCTGATTGCTCTGTTTGTGATAAGAGGTTAGGAGAACTCCTACTGTGATAATTCTCCATAAGCTCATGCCCCTGCCCTAGAATCACAACACACACAGAAGATGCACAGTTCTGTTCACGTACACATTCCACCTTCACGATGCCAGTGCTATACAAAACATCAGGACCAAGAAAAAAAACCCAAGTCAGTCAACAGCCATTTGAGAGACTTATTTTTTCTAAACTTTTGAAGTTGGATAAAAGAGCTTCAGAAGTTATTCAAGAACAGTGATAAAGTAGAATATGTGAACATCAATAAAAATTACTTTTCCAACTTGACATATTAGTAAACTGAAGTATGGGTCCTAATCATATGTTGAGAATCAGTCATGTCAACAGCTTGTTATGTGGCCAACTAAGTAGGAAAAAATAAAACAACAACCCCTCACTGACAGTGCCAGTGGTTTTGTAATTCAGGTCATAAATATAAACTATTGTGCAAACAAACAAACATGACAAAGCCTACCTCAGTTAAATTTGTTTATATGATAAAAAAATAAAATATTAAACTGCTTGTAGTGCAACATTCTATCAGCATACGTAAGTATACCATGCTTTGTAAATTTACTGTTACATTATTTACAGTATATAGCAATGCTTTAAACTAGAGGTGAAGGAACAAAAATAGGTAATGGAAAATGTTTACATACAGGTATGAGTCTTAATATTGTCCACTGAATTATCAAGTTCGCTTTGCAGACTTTTGTGTCACGTGAACATTCCTGCCCCACACCACACGGTACACCTTTCTGTCAGCAGTGGTCTGCTCTGTTTGTAGATAGTGGAAAGATGTTTTTAAAAACTGCATAGCCTTCAAGCTTTTCTGTTTCTTCAAACACCATTTGCAAGGACAGCTGTAAAATACACAAGAACTCCATCAATTACCTACATCTGATCAATCTGAAAACTCGACTCCTGAAATAAGATCAATAACTATTCACTCCTGTAGAGCTGTGCCGAAGCTGGACTAAATTAATGCCCTTTTCCAGCAGTCTCTTAGTTGAAGGATGATATTTTATAGGAGGAAAATAAGGGAGAAAAGCAGTTCAAAGATCCCTATCCATTTAAAATTCTGAGCTCCAATTGGGAGCTAAGCTCCCGGAATATAGAACAAAATATGAGAATGTAGAATTATATGCTGCCTTATTTAACATTCTGTAAAGCTTCTGCTGGTGTGCACTGCTCAAACTGATGAAAAATGAATACAGTAAAAATGATGCAGTAACTATGCCTGCAGTACTTGTTTAATTTGATATCGCTGTCCTTGTATTAGAGAAATAAGTATTAATGATGTCAGAATAATTAACTACACCGCAATTCCCTAATTATCCTCATTAGTGAGGAAGGACTGTCCTAACAGCCACTTACATACTGCAAGGAGTTATGTAAAATACATGAATACTGAGAGATGTCTTAAGGACAACTGTTTATAAGAAAGACTAACCACCAAGCTGTTCTTGGGAGTAGGTTATGTGACTTTAGGTCTCTTCCCCTACTACTACTAAAGGGAAAAATCTGTTCCTCACTTCCTCTGAAGAATGTCTTTGGAAGACTTTTAGAAGACTGCACACGCGTTCCATAGGCTGCAACAGCCCTAGAAGAGCTACTTCAGATGACAACGCTGCTTAAGCAGCAAATACTGCTGTTTTCTTGTTGACATTTCTGCTCATAGCAGACAGGAATCAGAACCACTTCGGGCTGGTTTTAGGTGGGGAAAAAAAAAAGTGGAAGTTTGAAATCCAGTATTACCTTTAATTTTCAAGTCTGAGTCTTTAAATTTCTTATTTTCAGGACAGACTATATAATAGCTTTGGACAATATAGCTTTGGACTATATAATAGTTTTGGACAAGATACTGCACCATACATTGTGAATTCTCATTTCTAGTAGTATTTGTCCATGATACAATAGAAATGGTTCACCTTCTCTACAGTGCATTAGGTAACTATTTGGGCAATAATGCATTTCAAGAATACAGAATTTTTCAATGTTTTCCAGAGCATTACTCAGAGTAAGCAAAGATCTATAAATACTTCAGTAAGAGCACTAGTCTTGCTTTAGTGGGCAGATGGTAGAAAAAAAAAATAATTGAAGTGTATAAAAAAAAAATCTGTTCTACTGTGCATTATTTCACTATATTCTATGTTACTTTACAGGCTAACTGTGAAAAAGCCAAGCACTCGATACAGCACATTTATGAAATATGGTAATTTACCCAACACCCTGAGATTTTTGTAGCCTTACCTTCTGTATCTAAAGTGAGTATTTGGAATTTTGTATTTTGTTTCTTTAACACCCACATTCTTGAGCACTTTGTGCTTGTGCTCTACGTGGTGATCTCAGCTGTCTCAAGGCAGCATCTCCATACTGAATACCTGAGCCCATTCTTTCTGGATCCAATTCTCCTGATGAGAAACAAAATGGTCACAAGAAGATGGATCACTTGCAAATAATACATTCCAATTTAACTGACAACATTAGATAAAAATACATAATGATATTCTTCTCTAGTTATGGAGAGATCTATTGCAATTCTGTTTACTTTTAGGCAATTCCAAACCTGGATCATCTTCTCCCGTAATTTCAACCACAAAGCAGTTTGTCTCCGAGTTAGGCTGGTACAAGAAATGTATTTGCACTAACTACTTCTAACAAAGGAAATGTCCAAAACGTTTTCTGCGAACACTATCAAAACACACCTGCTTTCAGAGACTAATACGCAAAGAAAGTAGTACTGTAGATACCAAGCCAAACAAAAATGGATCAATCTGACAGTATGATTCCATAAAGCACTGCCCCCAGAGGAAACGATCTCAACCTTCCCTACTTCTGGTATCTATTTTTACCCAGTCCTTACCCTGTGCCTTCAGAAATGTTCTTACGGCTGCATGGTGGACTGGCCAAGATTAGAAACATTTAGGTTTCTTAAAAAAAAAAATCCCTCTGAATAATTCAGATCACTTATTCAGGTTCATTGCACACACGTGTGCACTCTGTAAGTTAGCAGATGACAGCATGTTGAGGGGACCAGTTGATAGCTCGAGGGTAGGGCTGCCATTCAGAAAAGACCTTGGTCAAGCTAGAGGAACAGGCCAGCAGGAACCTCATGAAATTCAGCAACTACACATGCAGAGCTCTGCACCTGTGATGAAACAAACCCAAGCACTGGTACAGGCTGGGAACTGACTAAGTAGATAGCAGCAATTGGTTAGCACTGGGACACATTGCCCAGAGGGGCTGTGGAATCTCTGTTGCTGGAGCATCTCAAAATGCCCCTCAACAAGCCCCAGGCAACTTGCTCTGCTCTCACTTTGAACCTGAACGTGCTTTAAACAGGAGGCTGGACTGGAGACCTCCATAGGTTCTTTCCAGTCTCAATTTTTCCAGGATTCAATGCATGTGTGCTGGCACAAAGGAAACAGGAGCAGCTCACAGAAAACAGGACTTACTTCTGTTGTGGTAATGCCTCTTCAAATCAATCATGGAACTACAGTATCAGGAGAAATTAGCTATACTTTACTTTTTGGTTTGTTTTCTTTTTGTTTGTTTGTTTAAAATGAAAGCTGCTGTTTGGCATTGATTTGATGCAGTAATAAGGAAATTCCTATGAAAATACCACATTCTTTTCATCTAAAAATTTGCGTTTGGCATTCAAAATGCATAATTGGAGTCTGAGACAGACTTTTCAATATGGCCAATATTTAAAACTTTGAAGATATCAAACAACTAGAAGATAAGAGAGGAAAACTGGAATGCAAATTAGCTGTAATGACACCTAACACTTAGGAGCCTGCCTCCGATAGAAACCTGCCCACTTGCGCTGAGAAGCTTCTGGTATATTTCTAGATCTCCAAAAGTAAAAATGGTTTCAACCGAGAGGCAGGAAGGTCACTTCAGAGAAACACAGTTGCTAGGAAACATCCCTGAAATTTTCAGTATTATTGTTCAAATTCTCTTGACTGTATTTCCTGCTACATATGAGAAGCAGAATTAAAAGTTATGTCTGCCCTGATACTAGGTTTTTATTCTGCATTGCTAAGCCTGTCTAATGTCAGGCTTGATGTTTGTAGGGACGCAGCAATCCACAGAATGCACAGACTACACTCAGAGCTGACTGTTAAGGTAAACACTGTGTAAAAACATCCAGAATTCACACCTTTTAGATATACAGATCTGACTTAGACGCCCATTCCTATTAAGATGTACGGGAAGCAGCTATAAACCAAATGGGTTATTTTACCACAATGAAATTTTCGTTCTTTGGGTTAATTCTATTAGAGAACTTTGAATGGCAGTAGTTCCACATGTACTTTTAGTTTTCAGGGAAAAAAAGCATTAAAAGAATATAAATCTCAATTTACCTGATTCTATTTTATTGAGTATTTTTCTTGCACACTGTACAAAGGCCTCTTCAACATTCTCCCCCGTTAGTGCACTTGTTTCCAAGAACATCAGCTCTGCATTTGACACCAGAAAAACAATCTCAAAACAAGTCTGGAATATCTGATATAGTAATTCAAAGCATGAAAGCTAGAAACAGTAAGAATTTTCTTACGGAGAACTACTGTCAAATAGTATGGTCCAGACAAATTAGCTTTTGATGCCAAAACCACAAAAAACCTTCCTCTGAAATTTATACATTAATCCTAGAAAGTCAGAATCCAAAGATAATAACCTGGGCTGTGCATGCAAAATAGTGCATGAAACCAAAGAACTTCATATAGTTTCCCATTCATAGAGAGTTATATGCAAAAGGACAGCCAGCAGCAACAGTTGGTAGAAAGGACTGTTTATAATTGATTTATAAAAACAAAACCAGATTTTACCGATGGCAGGACCGCAGCACAGAAGCTCAGACTAAGACTGGCTTTAGCTGCCACAGAAATGTGTCCTCAGTCTGGAAATTCTGAATACTACAGACCAGGTAATAGTCCTCTGGATCCATGCCATGCACTGAACTCAGTTTCCCATGAGTAAAACTCATTGCTTCCAACTGCAGCACACCCCATCCAATCTTGTCTATACTCTATAGAATCTGTAAGATGCTGAAAACTAGGAAATCATGCTCTTCATTTTCTCCTCAGCCCTTTGGAGGCAAGGCAATACCTGAAGTTGTATTACATTCCCTAGGGAATATATCTCCACACAGAAGGTATTCTTTAAGTAGCAGCTGCGACTGGAAGAATCGCTGGTAATGAGAATTAAATAGTACATGTAGTTCTCACTGCAGGCACTATCCTCTCTCTATGCCTCATGTACAGACAGAACTCTCTTTTCTGTAGATATTTGAAAGGTACAGCAGGCACAGTACTCCCTAACTGCACAAAAAAATAAGTTATTTTAAGTATTAAGTATCTTTGAATGCTACATGAAGATTTTGTACTACTTACCATTTTCTTGTGCAAACCGGGATGCTTCTAGAAAAGTAACTTCACGATCTGCATCAAGATCCTTTTTGTTTCCACACAGTATTATCACAATATTTTGACTTGCTAACATTCTTGCATCTGTCAACCAATTAGTAAGTGCATTGTAGGTTTCCCGGCTATGTAGAAAATGACATCCTTTATTAGGACATACTCATTTCTAGTGAACAGATCACTGAACTAAAACTCAGAAGGCAAATCTGTATTTGTGGCAAACCACAAACTGCTGCTAGTCAGGCAAGTCACCTACACATCTCAATATGCCAGCTATGAACTGGGAAGAGTATCAAGTTCCTTCATGAAACTGTTTAAACAGTTTAAAGCTTAAAGTTTTTAAAAAGCAAAACTAAATCACCCACAATATATAAGTAAATATACACAATTATAAAATACCCTGTTAATGTGAAAAGCTAAAATTTTAAGCACTAATCTAGTTTCAGCCTTTTGTGCATGAAATTTTGGGATAACAGAATGAGTTATTGTTCAACATGAAATTCAACTGATACTTAAGTTTCAGGTGGGATTGTAAGAATTTACTACACTTGTGGAGAATTGCATGCCTGAACTTCACATTTGCGTCAAGACTAATAATATCGCAGGCAGTTACCCTGCACACACTATTAGTCATTGTAGTGGTGGTCAGATATAAAGCCTAATTTACTACACTTGTGGAGAATTGCATGCCTGAACTTTCACATTTGCGTCAAGACTAATAATATTACAGGCAGTTACCCTGCACACACCATTAGTCATTGTAGTGGTGGTCAGAGATAAAGCCTTCAAGCAGTAAGACTGACAAGTGAGTCCAACTGACCTTAAGCAGAAAACACAGATTTCAAAGACTGCTCAGAGGAGAACAGTCCACTCACAGGACAAAATGCAACAGATCTAGCGAATCATCATCAACCAACATGAAACTTATCTGACAAGTATCAGTCAATGGTGGCCAGGAAAAAATGTGGAAATGTGTAATGGTAATTCTATTGGCTGCCTGTAATATTAAAATATTAAAAGATGCAGAGACGAACAGAATTTTGGGCTACAGTTAAGGAATGTGTAGGTAGAGCTAGCTTCTCCAGAGGATGACCTGTTACACCAGCATACTAATAAGCAGTTTCCACAAACAGGGGTGTACCACCTTGGTTAAAAGTGGCTAAAGTCTGCTCTTAGTTTCTGCTGCAAGGCTTCCTGAGCCAGTGGTTGCATGTGGTCTGCCATGATTAGAACAGCTACTGGTGAGCCAACTTCCATGTATTTGTCTAACCCTTTCAGACTGTTTACATTTATTACATTCATAATATCTCATGTAAGCAAGTTCCAAGACTTAAATACGCACTAAAACAGAAGTACTTTTTATACTTATTTTCTTCCTGCCCATTCTCCGTTAGAGGGTTAGTCACTTCTGGAGGGAATCGTTACGCGTTAATTGTATCTGGTAGTCTATAAGCAAAAGAGTTGCTAGTTTTCTTACCTGGTTATATCATAGACAAGCAAAGCACCTGCAGCTCCTCTATAGTAACTCCTTGTTACAGACCTGAAATAGAATTACAGATGTACGTTTCTGTAATATTGTCATTGTTTCAAATCTGGGTTAATATAATGCAACCTATATTATGAAACAGAATTCTCATTTACATATTTGAAATAAAATGTGTTAGACAACATTATCAGCTGTGCAGCAGCAGACTGTTTACAAATAGACTTTTGATGAAGCACTTTCACTAAGTATAGCTGTACAGTGATTCTCAAAGTCCATTATGACCTGTGTGCTGCTGAAGCTACACATATCATCACACTATATGGCCTGATACAGAATTGGGAGCTGATGGCGGTATCTGTGGCTTGAAAACAGCATAATTAACTTATGTTTGAAATCTCAGTAGTGAGGAGAGAATGAGCAAAGTAGCTGTAATTGAACAATTTAAGAGTCCCCAAGTTGAAGAGGAGGAGGCGGCAAGGAAATCAAAGCAAAGCATCCTTCAAAAGGTAAAGAAGAGGAAAAATAACTGCTAAGTATGCAGAGGTGTGATCAGCTTTAAAAATAAAATAATTAGACAGACTATAAAAAGCAACAGGAAAAGAAGGACCTGCAAGTCTGTGAACACTTTGGACTTGAAAGAGCAGAATTTGCACAAGCCTCTAAAAATACAGAGCCTCCAAACTTCTCAGAATCCCAGGATATCTGGCCAACACACTGAAGAGATCTCATTAATGGAGACTACATAGCACTGCCCAGCTTTACCTAGTCACAGATGCATCCAAAGAACTTGCCTAACAGAGAACATTTACCTGGATTGCTGCCCATTACTCAGACTTCTACCACCATACTCACCTTTGTTAACCACTGCCCCCCCGCCCCAAACCAAAGAAACCTCTCCCACACACCCCATCCCCCAAAAATATAAAAAACTGATGTCCTATTTGATGGTGAATGTACACAGGAGTACATTAGATCTTTACTGAGTTTGATCTATGCCTCAGATGTATGACAGTTAAAATACAGCATTAAAAGTACTTTGGTGGTTCTAAGCTGACAAATACATTGCTTTTTCTTTAAGAAACTTAAAAGATCTCAGTCTTTCTAGAAGTGTATTTAGCCAAGTGAACTTGACAACGGATTTTTTTTTCCCTCTAATAAAATAATATTATGCTATGAAACTGTTCTCATGCAGATTTTGAACAGCTTACAACTTCCTGGCATTTACTTATTCCAACCAATAGAAGGTCTTCTAAACACAGAGTTAAGCACACACAGTGAGTTAAGAAACTATTCTGAGTTTGACTGGTGAACAAACTTTTAGCCACATATTCTACTCACATACCTTAACCATCACAGAAAATACCCAAAAAAAGCAAGGGCAGAACCTCAGATCCTGCAAGGCAGCATTGCTTTACTGAAATCAATGGATCTATGTCGCTATGTCCAAGTTGGAAGATCTGGCCTAGTTAATAATATGAAAGGAGACAAACAATTCCACTGACCAAGAAACTATGCCTACTTATAAGCAGGGATAAATAATACCCAACACCCACAGCAACAATTTAATAACAAACACTTGATAAAATGATTGAAAAGGGTACCTGAATCTCTCTTGTCCTGCTGTATCCCATATCTGCAATTTTACATATTTACCACCGACATTTATGATCTTTGAACCAAATTCCACTCCTATAGTATGATTTGAGTCATCTTTGACTACAAAAAAGAAATAAAGACAGACTTATTTGGAGAATATTTAGAGTGAATAATTAGTTTTTACATAATCCAATTTAGGTATAATCAAAACTCCTCTGTGTTCAAATTACAAACTACTTCCTGAACCACCAAATTCAGTGCCGCTCATAAGCCTACTGCCACCATGCAGAAATAAACATTCTTACAATTTTTGAACAGCTTATTCAATTCAAAATTACTACTAGAAAGGCCTGCCTTAATCAAATCATTCCCATTTCACATTAATAAATGACAAGATAAGTTTTGTACCCTTTTTTTTCAAACTGTGTTTTCTAATACTTTGATGCAATTTAAAATTCACGGAAAAGCAGAACACAAAAAGACACAGTCTTGCCCGTGAATAAGCAAGAGCTACTTCTTCTTTAAAGTATGAAGTTGAGATACTTGCTTTATGTACACTGTTCACAGTACTTTACGTATCACAGATTCTCAGCAATATACTAGATAAAGTATATTATATATATAATATACATAAAGTATATAACCCTAACCCATACTAGAAGCAAGGTCACGGTTCAAGTTCAATCATAGAATCATGCCATGTTCCTTAGTGATTACACATTATTACCCTAGAGCTATTCCTCGAGAGATCAGGCTGAGAAAGATAACAGCCACCTTAGATTTACAAAGGTTTCTAAATGCATGTTATTTTTGTCTAATCATGAGCTAAATGCACTACCCAACAGGAAATTTTCTTTATATCCTCTGTTCATCTCTAAGTAACATTTACAATGGAGTCTCTACCAGTATTTATGATAGAACACAGTCCTTAACAAAGAACGTGGAGTATCTATTTCTTTAGAAAGAGACTAGATGTTGGGAGATTTGAGTTCTATCCAACAGGCTTTCTAAATCTACTCAAGCAATTCAACTTTTCTTTCATCTGCTCAGTATTTTTTCTAAAAGATCCAAGTCTCTACTACATATCTAGGGAAGCTTATAGCTGCAAGGTATAATTCTCACAAAAAGTAAGCCTGTATTTTCATCAACACCCTGTTAACATTTATTTGAGAGTAATAGGGAATACTGCTCAATATCAGGCTTTTGATTAGAGGCAGCGAGAATAAAGATTTACAGCATGGTTCTGAACATAATTCTCAGTCAAAATCCTCATCTATACAAATAAGAGAATTATGGGAACTTCCATACAAAGAATAGATACTCATGTAGCAGAGCCTTCATCTGTGGTACAAAGCAATGGAGAACTCTTACTGTGCTCACATATACTTACATTTCTTTTCAATAAATTGGTGTAGTAAACAGGATTTTCCGGTTCCAGCATTCCCTATGACCAAGAACTTAAACAGAAAATCTGAAGATGGAAAGACAAAAAAAAAAAAATTGCTAGATTTTAGTACACGCTCACATTTTTGTCACAAGACCAAGTACACAAGCCAGCTATTCTCTAGTAGCTGTTATTTCAAAGAGAAGGGAATAGATGACAATTAGAAAAATAACAATAAATCTGAAGAATAGCCCAGTGTATTCAATAGCGATGCTACAAAGTAAGAGCTAAGAATGCTATTTGTTTATGGAGATACAAGAATGACAATAAAAGATGGAAATGGTTGAATTTGAATTCGGTTAAAATAGGCTGAATTACAGGTATATGGTTGGCTTGTATTCCAGCAACCTGTTTTAAGGGTACGTAAGCTATTAGCTACAGTCAGTAAAAATGCCCTATATAATGATGTAGTTTCTTAAAATCTGTATGTGTTTGTACTTTTAAAAAATGTTTGGTTTTTTTTTATTTTAGTCACATTAATTTGAACTTCTCTGTATTAACTGCTTAATACTCATACTTCGTTTTAATACTTGTAAAGCTGGAAGAACTACAATACTTTTCTACAAAATTTACAGGCAAGAAGTAGTTTTTATTCTGGGATGCCTGCTTTCACATTTCCTCCACATAGTAAATCAAGATACAGGTATTTCTGGCACTTTATCTATTTATAAGCCATTTACATCAGTGTTCATTAGTAATACATGTATTCAAGATTTATGGTCCATTTGTATTGTTTTAACAGTTACATGTAATGCTTTAATACTACCTCCCCAGATCTGGTTTCAGTTTGGCTAAAGACTGAAGAAAGCTTCCTTGTCTTACCACTCTCAAACATATACGCTGATAAACTGTGATTAGAAAGTTTACAATTGCTTCCCCTAATATACAGCCATCAACTTTTACAGTTCGTGCAAGATCCACTACTTATTTTCCTACCAGCAACAGCATTTTTTTACAGTCATCTTTACAACTTTATTGCAGTTTCTCTTACAAACATAGCAGGTCTCCAGAAGACGTCAGGTAAGCATGCAATGAAAAGGATTAAGTTTGCAATATCAACAAAAAAAACCCCTTAACATTAGTTTCATTAACAATGTTCAGAGCTGTCAAATGGGTTACACAGATATTGGCCCAGAGGATGGCAGAACAAAAAAAAATTAGACTATGCTAAGCAAGTCAAAGCACTGATACATTACATCTTGTTTGAGTCTTTAGTTTTACAAATTGAATTTAACATGCACACAAATCTATGCACTCATTCCATTTCACACAGGAATTGTTATTTGTTATGGTACATAATAAACACCCCCTAGCAATGGTAAAAGCAGCAAGCAAGTTTCTCATATGGTAAGAAAATTCCCACTGTTGAAAAGTCAACAGCAAAACAGAGGGCTATGAATCCTGGGAACATCCACCATCCTTTGTCTTCACCCGTCTTCCAAATTTTACTCATATTTAAAATGAGGTAGTGTTTTCCTAAGGATTTTTGCTTTTTTACATTTTACCTTTGCATGATTTTTCTTGTTTCAAATGTTGCAACAGGCTTGGTATAGATTTTGTATTCTACCCTTCTCAGAAGATTGCTATTTCTTTCTCACAAATATGACCATTTACACGCTCAAGACATTCTGTTCCAAACTCCTCTCATTCTTCACGCCCCCACCCAGCTGCTCATGCTTTCTGGATGAAAAAGAGAGTTACAAAAAGGATTTTGCTTCAGGTTGTGAAAATTTTGCGTGTTATCTCCTGTAAAGAAGGGCCCTTCATGTCATCTCAACTGCAAAGCACGCTGAAGCTGAGAATGCTTCATTCTATCATATCTTCACTGTTAGTATGAAACGTAGGTATCATAAATAGCCCCAAAGTATTAGGTTAAGAAAAAATTCATCTCTGAAAGAAAGCCAAGTTTCTCTTCTTATGGACCAAGTATCGCTAGCTAGCTGCCTTGTGTACCTTTTTGTATATTTAAACTACCGTGGGTGTGTGTAATCTCACTGGTTTTACCACTTTCACAGAGTTTCTCAAAATGCGAGATGTTCTGAGACATAGTCACAATTAAAATAATCTGGTTTTGGTCTCTGCAGTTTTTCCAAAAATAAATCTGAAATCCAGTTAAAACCGGTTCTCCTATGTATCTGGTGAATGCTGTTTGTCAGATTTTCTTGTTAAAAACAACTACAAAATTCATGTCTACCTTCCTTTTTTCCACGGAAGACTCATATTATTGACAGTAGTATAACAGCTACCGTCTAACTAAACCAGGAAAAGAATAAAACCAAATCTCTCTTCCTACACTAATTTGCTCTGTGATTGTAAGCACTGGTTGTTAAACATGGTTCACGAAGCCATACTTGTGCAACCCACAAAACCACGCTGAAGAGCAAATTTAACACGCTGCTCCGTTCTGTGCAGACAGGCTGCAGGCCAGTGAGAAACTGAAACAGCGGTGTCGCTGCCAGGGACTGATCTGCAATAGCTTCAGAACAGCAGTGTATTTTTCCTGAGGTGTTTTAAGTTGAGGTGCTTTATATTTTGCTCTGAAAGCAAGAGTGATATTTGGGGATTTTATATTTGTGTCTTTAAACTGGTAACATATTCTAGCAGCACTTTATAATAGACTCCCAATTCCTGTCAAGATCCTATTGTGCCACACAACTTTAAAAGCAAATCTTTCCTACAGATAAATCACTTAAATGCTGATTCAATACCTGCTTACTTAGTAGACAAAAAAAATATTTCCCTCTGGCAAAATAGCAAACATGTTTTCTAAGGTGAAACTTGAAACTGCAATTACAATTCACTTGTTTACAGTATGAAAGTAAGAATAAAACACGTTTCTCTACCACAGAATGGAAATATCAGTATCTTATAATAAAAAAATCAAAACCTTTCTGCACCAAAGAAGGCAGCAACATTTCCAAACACATGTAGACTCGTAAATGACACTTTGAAGTTACATTCACAAATGTAACTGCTTTTATCAGTTTAAACTCCAATTTTATGTAAATTGTTCAAAATAGCAAAAGACTTTTAGACTTATGTTAACGGTTTAGCCACAAGCAGTGGATAACATGTTTCAGGAACTATGGAATACTTTGCACATTTAATCAACTGCAAGGAAGGACAAGAAAAAGGATTTGCCAATACCAAAAGTCAAAATACCCATATTTAACAAGTTTTTAAGTTCACAGCCTAGCATATTAATGAGTAAGGTAATACCAGGTAAGAACAGGGAGAACATTTTTTATTCTGTTATTCTGGAACTTCTTTCTTATAATGTCATTCTGTATGATAACAGGAACCACATCAATTACATTGTTATAAGTTTTTTTACTGCTTGATTTAGGACATGAAATATCTTCTCTTTGAACTGTACAGGTGTATCTAAAAATTTAGCACCATTCAGAAACACAGAAACTGAATGAGATTGGACAGATAGCTTATTTTAGCCCAACTGTAACATTACTGTGTACTCACACTCGGGAAAAACTTTAATATATTCATTCTTCGCAATTTCACCAAATGCAACTCATATTCTAGTGTTTGCACTACTGCTTAATTGCTCTAGTTTTTCTTTTTGGTGTCCTCTTCCCAGAGGAGTTAAGTCATTTCATAGCTTTTTGTTTGTTTGTTTGGCAATTGACAAAGCAGCTCTGAGCTCCAACATTCCAGTCAGCTGCCAAGGCTGTCACCCTAGAGAAGTTTTTATTTTGAATTCTGTTGTTCCTCCTTCATGGAAAAGCTGAAAAGCAACATCATTCAGATGTTACAAATGCTTGCTACCATGCTGGCTACTGAAAAGGTCTAGAAAGTTAAAGTACTTTGCCTGTAAATACAATCATCATTACACAGAAAGGATTTAGGAAGAAAACTGAACTCTGTGCCAAAAGGAGAAAGGGTTACAAGCCATGAACTAGAGAAAGCATAAAGAGATGAAAGATCGCATAGCACGGCTGTTTAAGGAAATAAGGCAATATAAAGAATCAGCTTACTCCCCTCTATGAGCTACATGCATCACCTGATCCCAAACTGTGTAGGAGGTACAGGGAACAAAACTTAATTTCTAGCATAGGTGAAAAGGAGTACAACTGTGGCTCCACCCCAAAGATGCACCAGCAGCTAAACTACGTGTTTGGGGGCGGGGGGGTGAAGAAGGGGGACTGAGGGGAAAGGAGAAGGGAGACAATTGTGGGCTTTGACTCAACTACCAGCAAAAACAGATGGTTGATGCGGAAACCACCCCCAGACATCCAACCTCCTCCTTTGACTTAAGTTTCCTTCAGCAGAAGGAATAATTGAACAGCTTCTGAGCTACTGCAGCTTAGTAGTGAGAATTAAATCGTTTCTTATATGCTTGATAATACAGAAGGGGGGGGAGGGGGGCGGAAAGACCAAATTGCATCCTCAATCTCAGTTCGGTCTTCTTCCAACTCCTTGATAAAGAGTAGAACTTACATTCACTAATGCTGACCCTTTGGAAACTCTCTCACTCACGCCATGAAAAAGTCTCTTCTAGTAGTCAGACATCTTCTATTTTG